ATTAGTGTTGATTTTGGCATTACGGTATTAGAGTTGTGCCAGGGGAGGTTTAGGTTGGACATGAGGAAAAATTTCTCCTCCCTGCAAGGGTTTTCAGGGCCTGGCCTGGGCTGCCCAGGGCAGTGGTGGAGTCCCCACCCCTGGAGGGGTTTCCAAGCCGTGGAGATGTGGTGTGAGGGACACGGGGCAGTGGGGACCTGGCAGTGCTGGGGGAATGGTTGGACTCAGTGATCTTAAAGGTCCCTTCCATCTAAAACATTCCTATGATTCTGTGGTTGCTCATGCAGCCCTTCCACTGCCCAAGTTCTGCAGCCCTCTTTGTAATAAACACCAGTTCAAATCTGGTCACTAAGTCGGTGATGATTTATAAAGCAGATATTTATTTACTTTCACTTGACAACTTCAAACCAGCTTATTTTAGTAATTTGTCCTTTAAAAATTGCCAAAGGTTGGTTTAAGATTTTGAGTTTTTGATTCTTCTTTATGTCTTATTTTGCAATCCTCCTTTCCTTATCTCCAGTTGAGTACAATTAATTGAATACTACTCAGTATTTTTCTCCTTCCATCTGCTTTCTTTTTCATATTGTGACATTACCTTTATTATCAGATATCTTCTGCTTTTGAATAGTTACAGGGTGGCAAAGCCACATTTTCCATAACGTTTCCAAAATTAACAAAATTCTGAGGTATTGGAATGTGTCTGGGCAAGAGACTCCTTCCACTTCCCACCATTTCTTAACACTTCTCCTGAAAAGTGAGGCTCTTTTAGACTCATACCAAAGAAAAGGCAGAGGAGCAGTGAGGATCTCTACCTGAATGACAGATACTTTTTCAAACTATTATACTTGCTAAAAATTGGGTATTTTGGGGACATCTTTTAATAGCCACTTCCAGTTTTGAAAAAGATAATATTGATGGGGAGAGAAAAGGTTTTCGATGAGAAGTTCCTGCAGCTGTCATGATGAGTAATAAGGAGAAAGGATGGAGGAGCGAAGTGTAATTTAGCATGTTAATGTTAACACCTTGTTCTGGGAAGGTACATTTTGAGATCTGCAGTGTTAGGTGGTTTATTCATTCCCTCCCAGTTCTGACGTGGGGCACAGGTAACCATTTTCTCCCCACCATCCAACAGGAGGGTGACCGCCTGAGCGATGAAGATCTGTACAAGTTCCTTGCTGACATGAGACGGCCGTCGTCGGTGTTACGGAGATTGAGACCCATCACAGGTATCAAACCAGACCTTTCTGGCTCCCATGTTAAGCTGTTTGGTTAGTCCTTCCCAGTTGCCACCCAGTGAGCAGACGAAAAAACCCTAAGGAGTCATTGACAGCCACCCCTGGCAGACCACGAGCACTAAAGATGGCATTTGGGCAGGTTTTTCAGCAGTACCTGTGCACGTGCAGCTCCAGTCACCCTGGGAGTAGTGTCTGTGAGAAGAGGATGCAACCCCCAAAGCCCTAAACCCAGGAGGGGCTGAGGAGCCTGTGTTTTCTTGAGTAAAACACCACTCTCTAGCTGAGAGATCTCTCTCGTGGCTCCCACTTGGTTAACAGGAGCAGACTCCACCTCTGTTTGAGAAAGGGAAATAAAAATGCTGGCACACCAGCCATGAAACATCCCTGGTCCCTGACCTGTGCTATTCCTGACAATATTTACTTAAAAATCTCCAGTGACAGCAATCCTACCGCTTCCTTAGATCATCTCCCAGCTCTCAGCTGGCCTTGTAGTGGGTTTAGGTATTAAGAAAACTTTGCAAAACCATCTTGCAGCAAATTAATCTGATTATGGGCTGTCATGCCCTCAGGGCAGCTACCACAACCTTGCAAGTACTTGAATACTGTTATTAGTTCACTCTTAATTGCCTCTGTTTTGTAGCATAACCAATCTCAGGATTTTTTCAGCCCTTCTTCAAAGGCTGTGATTTTAAAATTGCTTTCTACTCCCTGCTAGAGTTTCTTCAATCTGTCCATGCTTTTCTTCAAGCATGGTGATCTAAACTCATTATGCTGCTCCTCCTAAGGCCTCACGCTGAGCAAAGACAATGAATTTGTCTCTAGTGTCTTACCCATGACACTGCACTAAATATATCTTAGAGGTGTTGTGTCTTTCTTCTGGAAATTTGCTTATTTTTAGTGCTGCCACCCAGCCCTTTTCTACAGTTGATCCATGCCTTTTTTTTTTTTTTTCTTTTTAATGCTTGTATGTTTTGCTTTTCCTTAATGCATGCCCTTCTTATGTTTCACCTTAGTCCTTTGATGCCATTTCTCCAATTCTCCCATTTTCCAGATTTTTACAGTTATTCCAGCCTCAGTGCCATCCACCAACAGTGTGTCCTGTCAGTACACTCAGCTGACTTGCTGAGAAAAATATTTCATGTTCTTGGTGCAGGTTAGCTTGCAGCAACTCCTGATGTATCCTTCCAGTTTGATAGGCCAGATTCCTGATGAGACTTTGAGTATTGCTTTTAACAGTAGTTGGGCCTCCCAGTAGCATTATCTAGACTGTATTTCCCCAGCTTGCCTATGGGAACAGTATTTGGGACTCGTTAAGATACATCTTTCCCTTGGTGTTTATTTTCTGCTACCTTAATTGTCCTAGGTATCAGTTTGATTCACTATTAGTTGCTTTCAACAAATCCACATTGTTTGTCATTTATCATTTGTTTATTTATAAAATTAATATATAGGATATTAATGTGAAGAAACAAAGCATGAATATGTTTTAAAATTTGTATTAACTTTTATTTATTGTAATATAATTATTTTGTTCTTATAGCTCAGTTGAAGATAGACATATCTCCAGCTCCAGAGAATCCCCATTACTGTCTAACTCCAGAGCTGCTGCAAGTCAAACTTTACCCAGACAGCAGAGTTAGACCTACAAGAGAAATCCTGGAGTTTCCTGCCAGGGATGTCTACGTTCCCAATACCACATACAGGTTAGAGTTTTGAAATATGTTTCACATTTCAGGGCTTGAGACTGGCAAGTCTAGAAATTCCTACCTTATCATCTGGTTCATTGCAAAACTCGCTCTGTCGGTAGATCTGCTGCACAAGAAGGGTCCAGATTGACACAGCAGAAAATACACAATTGTGAAAGGCCAAACATATTTACCTGAAACTTGGCTGTGAACAATAATGAGAAAGGTTTCTCCATTCCCCAAAATTCACAGTGAAATTTAGTTAATTCTTTTCAGTTTTATGTGTTTTTTTTCCTTTGCCTGTCAGCTAAAGTCATTATTCTCTTACTGTTTTTATTACTTTCTGACACTTTCAGTGACTTAATATTTTTCTTTAAAGTGGGGGATGAGAATGAAGAAAATGCAGAATCCATTTGTTCATATTTCCATTTTGATTTAAAAGCAATTTCTCTGTTTACAGTGCTTGAAAAAACATTTACTGATGATCTAGACGATAAGAATTTTTTCTGAAGTATCTTGGGAAACAATAACCTTTCTGTAACTAAGCCCAGGCAGGGAGCAGATTTCTTTTCATTATGTACCACTATTCAATTAAAGCTTTTTCACAGTATCTTGAAGACGTTACACATCTGAGTGGAACTGTCTTCTTCAGCTGAATAATTTCTCTAGCTTACCAAATCTGACACTTCTTGTTAGAAAATTTACACTAATAGAAACCAGGTTTATATAAACCGAAGCTTACAAGGAAGAGTTTAGTCAAATTCCATATCTCATGTATTTTCACAGCTTTATTGCTTTATTTATCTGTTTATTTATTATTTTTTAGAGTTTGGACAGGTAATTAAACATTGCAATGCACCAGCAGAAATAAGCAGCACTGTCATCTCTTCTTTGTAATAAATCCACGAGAATTAAAAGTATTTTTTCAGTTTTCCTGTAATTAGCACATTTTGTGCAGAGTTGTTTCACTCCGACAAATCAGAATTTAAAACCATTTTCTGTAGGGTAGGAAATGTTTAGATAAAAAGTCCATACTGTACAAGGGTTAGGTAAGATATGCAAGTCAATATGACTCAATGTAACTGCAGAATTGGGGTCTTTGTCAGTCAACACTCCCACAACTGGCCACCCACAAGCATCCACAATAGTCCTTCTGCCTAAGGACCAACACTGCCACATAGGTTGTGCCTACAGGATTTGTTGGTTGGTACCACTGACTCCATTGGAGCTGCCCCACAGACAACTGTTCTCTGTTTGAAAGGTGTTTTGTTGTGTGCTTCCTTGGTCTTTCATTTACCTTCTTTGTTACATGTACTGAAAGGTTGTAAAGGGACAGCTCTGATTCAGTTTCAAAGGAGAAGAAAAGATCTCTTACTTATCTCAGTAAGCTTTGAAGCTGAGCTCTTAACTTTCAGGAAGAAAGCATAGTTCTTGGGTTGTTCTTGGAAGTATGGTGTCTAAAAGTTGAAGGCTGTGCTCTGGCTTACTTGATATGTGTGTGTGCACATATGCTGTGGAATTCCACGTGTGCTGTGGAATGTTTCTGTCAGCAAATGGAAGATGGGTAATTCCCCATTTTAGGGTTCTGTGTATTTCCAGATAAATTTTCAGCACTAACATGAGCCAAAGATCAAATTAGTTACATGATGAAACAAATTTTTTTTTCCTCTATAGGGTAATACCTAAATGTTTTCAGTAGCATTTTGCCACCTCTTTGTTTATTGAAACACTTCTTGTGTTCCCTACTACACAACCCAGAAACAAATGCAGCAGCCTGAAAACCCCTTCCCCCAGGGAGTATTATCTAATACATGAGTAGGTGGTTGATTCCTGGGCGTGAGTTTCACCCTGGGGTGGAGAAAGCTCTATGAAAATTACAGCACGTTGACATGGGGCTCAGGGGAATGGGAATACTCACCAAATATGCTGCAAGACCATCACAAATGGGTCAAGTTTATGTATTGGAGGAGACACCATCCAGTGTATGGATTTACACATGCTAGTAAACATAACATGAATGTCTTTGATGTAGTAATGTTCGGCGTGTATGTTCTGAATTAAAATGCATCAGGTGGAGCATTCAGTCAAAACTTTTTAAATTTGTTGGGTGTATCATGATTTTGGTTGACTTGAGCAAGTAGTATCTTCCTTTCTTAGGCTTCCAGTACAAACCTTTTCTTCTGTCTAGTCTTCCTCTTGACCTTGGTTCAACGTATTTCCCGTTAAGATTGGTTTCCTCACATTCACTGTGCCACCAGCCTCCTAAGGACAAATATTGTCATGTCAGTTACTGTCAGTTGTACCCTGACATACTGTGCTCAGTTTCTGAGTAGACAGCTCCTGTTGGCAGCATAAATCTTCTTTAGATCAGTTCCAGCCTAAGTGCTACCCAAACAAAGTGGTGCTTGTACATTATACCCACTTAGACCTGGGATTAGAGGGCCAGTATAAAGATGTTGTCACCCCCATTTTGGTCTGCTTCACATAAAAGCAGTGGTGCATAGAAAACTGCATGCACAGATGCTGCCACTGAATTGGGACACTTTCAAAGTTATCTCTACTCTTCTGTGTTTCCCATGACCCTCTGCAACTGACTTTCTGACTTACTGATATTTCTCTTAGGTACAGATAGTTAAATCTCTGCATCTACAGGAGGCTGAAGAGCCTTTACTAAACAAATCCTCTTTTTTTTTTATTGTCTGATGTCCTTAACCATGAGCTTAAATTATAAGTACAGTTCTGCTTGCAAAGGACTGGCTGTGACTCTGCTAAAAATGAAAGTTTAGCTCTTTGGAAGGCATTGGCCATCTGCTTTATGGTCACTAGAGCTAAGTAACACTCCCAGCATTGTTTCAGACATGAACAATATTCAAGCCTCAAATGCTGTACAAAATGTTCATTGCATGAGGTAGGTGTCTGGATGGCAGTTCTGTATCCTGTGGTTTAATCATTAATAGCTTTTTCGATTGTTTGCTTTCTACTATAAACTAGCAAACCATAAAACCTTCATAAAATCAAAGAATTGGGAATCCTGTAATCAAATTATCTTTGAGGAGAAATGTCTTTAGCCTTGCATCTCTTGTGGTCTTTTGAGAGGGGTTGTAGCCTGTATACTTTACAAACAGCTAAAATCTCCCTTTGAATGGAAACTCGTGATCACTCTTTAGCTTTTGGGTTGTAGTCAAAATGGAGTTAAGACTCAGTTTGCCTTCTGTTTTTTTTCAAGGACAGATTAAACAATCTGACCTAGGGTTGCTACAGCAGACCAGGCATCAGAGGAAGAACTGCCCATTACTTCAAATCTCAGAATATCATCCTGGGGTTTTATCTCAACCTGTGCTGCCAGTTCTGTTTCTGATGTTGGTCATTTGCACAGCCTCGCTGTGCTTTGGTTTTACCTCTGTGTAAAATAGAAAGGTGATGCCTTGTTGTAGGACCCAACAAAAAACATCTCCTGCCCCTGCCTGCAAGCAGAAGGATGCCGCTGCCATCTCTTTGCTCTGCCTGAAGCCAGGTTAGTATCAGTAACTACCCACTGAAGCATGCTGCCATCAGCCACGGCACCTGTGCCCAGCATACCTAGGTAGTTCTCCGGGCAGTTGAAGTCGGCGGGGCCGCCCCCAGCACGGTCTGCAGTGGAGAAGTGGAGCTGGGTGTGCTCCGGGAGGGCGCTGGGGATGCTGCCGGAGACGCGGGCCAGGCGCAGGCCGTAGGCGCTGGCGGGGCCGCCCAGGCGGAAGGCGTACTGGATGTAGCGCCTGTTCTCCCTCCAGTCCTGCAGCTCCAGCCGCAGCAGGTACTCCCCCTGCCTGGTGATGGAGTAGGTCTTGTTCAGGCCGAGCCAGAATTCCCCTGCAAGGTCGTGGTAAGTAGATGGTGTTAATATGGAACTAGGCACGGACGTGCTTCCCGTGTTCCTCGGCTCTCCGACCCGCACCTCAGCTCCTCACCTTTCCAGCCCCAGGATGTAACATAGGTGTTCAAATCAGCTGCACAGTGCCAGGCTCCAGAGATGTCAGAGGTGAGGATTAGGGGACAGAAGTCACTGGGCAGAGAGTTAGTGGGGAAGGGGTTATGTGATAAACCTTCCCTAAATCCCCATATCACTTGCACTGATGTTGAATTTGTTTTTACAGATAACGGGCGGGTAGTATGTGTGAAAATATAGTATTTAAAAGGATTTATTCATTGCTTTAATTAAATCAATAATATGAGTCTTGGGGACTGTTGATCTTTTCAGAGGTCTCCTGCTACATTCTTTTTGTTTACCTCTTCTTAATTACACACTGATGATCAATAAAAGGAAGAGATATAAATGAGCTGGAGCTTCTCTCTTAACTTTCCCACCTCTTGTGAAACACTTAGAGGGAGCTCAAGACATTTAAAACATGCATAATTGGAACTGTGTGACAAATGAAGCAAGTGACATACATAAAACCTAATTGCAATTGTATTTTTTAAGGGAAGAGCTGCAGAACTAAACTGAGCTTTCAGTACCCTTCTGTACAAAGTGAATTTAACATCAGAATTTTTCTTTCGCTTGAATTCTTGATAATTAGTTTAATTAGTTTCATAAATTATATTCACTAAGTAGCTTACTATTAGTGCTGGTAGCAGTGCACAATAGGCAATTGCCACATGTAGAAATAGTGTAGCTGAATGTGCTATACATGCAGATGGCATTTAAAGCAATAGAAGACAAGATTATTGAGTAAAATACTCCCACAATTTCCAGGTAAGGAGCAGTAGCCTCTTCTATTTTATCACCTTTAGAATACACAGCACAGAACTGACTAGGACATAGCTGAGAGTGATGTGATCCTCTGCAAAATCTTTCTGATACTGGAAAGATCTGGCTCCATGTTGGTGTAGTGTATAGGAATTGGAGACCAACAGAGGAGCAACTGGAGAATTCAATATGATCAGACAAACTGTACAGGTAAAAGTCCACCTCAGCTGTGTGCCACTGTCCCAAAATGCAGGAAAGATTGAGATATCACAGCTCTTTAGTGTAAAAGAGGTGGAAGTAAGTCAGTACTGCTGCCCATATTGGTGGGGTTTTGATCTGTGCTATGCCTAGAAAGTAGAAATAGTTTTTAAACAAAAGTAGACTCATCTCATTGTATGAGAAAAATAGGGAAACTATTCCTGGTGGGGAGGCTGTTGCTGGGCAGCACTTGGAGTTGATGATTAACAGGGGACTGTGGGTGTTTCCTCACCCTATCCAGCCCTGGAGGGGATTGGCCACTGCAAGGAGAAGCCAGAGGTGTTTGTGCAGGGGACCACATGCAGCTTTGGGCTCTCTTGAGGCTGGAGAAATTGGTGTTCTGGTTTTAAAGGAAACAGGATTGCAGAAAGTTTGAATGAAAGTAGCAACAGCAACTTGGTGAGGTTTTGCATTTCTGTGTATTTTAAAGGCTTTGGGAGGTGGTTTTATAAATAATAAAACCTCAATAATTAAAGTAACATTTAAAGCATTCTGGCCTTGATTTAGCAAAAGTTTTTAAAGACACTTTTGAAGGTGTGTCTTTGAGAATTTTACTGAGTGTCGTTTTCTGGTAAGCACTTTCTGGTGTTCTACAAATTAGGTAAGCTGCTCAGGTATGGTGGCAGGTTTTGTCTGCTCTCACATGAACACCTTTCAGTAAGAAAAGTCAGCATCTCAAATCAACTGATACAAAGAGAAGACACACAAAAAAATGGTATTTTTACCGTTGAGGTCTCCAAAACCATTTATGTAGGCATCCCAGGTTTGGTTGAAATCCAGTGATCCATCCACTCTGTTCTGGATAACGGTCCAGGAGGTGCCTGCGAATGCGAAGGGGGAATGAGTCACAAGCCTGGCTTAAGTTTTTAAAGCACTAGGAAGAAGGTGGAAGGTAACTGAGGCTACAGCTGCTGACCTACAGACAGCACTGCTGTGACTGCCCTTTGCAAGTTCACTCTCCATCATGGTGAAGAAGAAAATGGGTTTGCATTGAAGGTGGGTCCACGAGTCCCACTTACTCTTCATTTTGCAACAGAGCTGAGAGCAAGTGTACTGAGCTGTGCAGACTCTGGGCTGCAGGGAGAGCAGGTGCCTGACTCATCTTGGCCTTATTAACTCTCCATGAGTGCTCTTGGGTGTTCCAGTTTTGAGGTAGAAGGGGTTAGTCTAAATCCTCATGAAAGAAATGGAAGTGAGCACAGCTGAAGAGAACGTGGGGCCGTTTGAGTGGCCTCTGCCAGGCTTGGGGTGACTCAGCTCACCGGGCTCACTTTCTTAGCTGCCTTAACTGGGTTACATTTGTTTATGAGGACAGAGAAACACAAACAGAGAGAAAATGATAAGAGAGATATGAAATGTTCTGGACGTTTGATCAGATTATCAGACTTCCCCTCCTGATAGTGCTTGATTGCTGGGAACGGAACTCCACAGGAGGAATGAAGTGGTGGAGCCCGTGTCCACGGTAGGGCTGTGCTGGGGGCTTTCTACTGACCAGGTCATGACACCCTCGTTAGACCTATTTCAACAAATGTAATCAAAGGAGCTTTTTGCACAGGGCAACCCCGTGCCATTCTGTGCAAACATCCAAACAAATGAGATGGCCCTGCTACATTTGCCTTGGCATGCTCCCAGGCTCTCCAGGTGGCTGTGGCAAAGGGACCATGCACAGAGCAGGGGTGAAAAAAATGGAACAGTGAACTCATTAAATGGTGTCTGACCTCTAGGTAGTGGCCAAAGAAACAGGTAAATGGGTTTCTTACAAAAGTAGAGCTTGGGTTGGTGCTGCACATTCTGGTCCATGACAGTTGTGGACCTATGTGATATGTAGCATCTGATTCACCCAGGCATGATAAAGGAGAATCTTGTCTCCAGGACTCTCCTCTTTGGGTTGGTTTGGTATATCTAAGCCTCAGGCAAGAACCCTTGTTAACAAAAGAAAATTTTACTAAGGTATTTACTATTTACTTTGTACTTTTATTTGGAAAAGCTATTCATGGTTGCAATATAATGGCATTTCTAATTGCCATTTTCATTATCTGTAGCTAAAGAGGCTTGGGCTCTCTAATATAATTCACTTATAGGAATTGATATGGTTGAAATTGTAACTTTCATGATTGAAAGTCCTTTCCTTGGTATAAACAACAGGTGAGTTAATGAAAACACTGTTAAGGAGACTTCAGGATGTGGGAAACCTGAGTTCAGAGTGGGGATATATATACATCATGACAAATTTTTCCTGTCCTTTAGGACGAGACAGGTTTTTGGCTTATAAGCAACTACTTATGTGAAAATCAGACTGTTGGTAGCACAGCTGTCTTACCCAATTTCATTTCACAGTAGACATCGAAAGCTTCTGAGCCTTTGGGCTTGATAGTGTAAACCCCAGAGGACCGCAGGCCGCTGTTAGAAAGAGCAGTGCAGTCAGGAGCAGCTCCTAGGAAAGCAAACAAATCCTAGTTTGGATGTGGTAAGTTGTAATCCAGCTTTGTAACTCAATTTTCTCCATGGGATAGAGGCACATGAAAAAGGAGAACAATCTTTTTTGTAATTCTATTTTACGATAAATGTCACAAAATGGACAAACTGCTTTGGGCTTGGTAGCACGGCTGCCAAGTTGTAGGTAGTTTGCACACAATGTTTTTTAATTTAGGTAAGGCTTTAATTTCAGTAATTTTGGAAAGGCCTAAGACTGGACTCTGACAATTGGACTTTCTTGCCCCTTGTAGAGCTCCCCATAAATACCATTCCCATTGCCACAGTTCTAAACCACATCTCAACTTTAAAGAAAGCTCTTCCAAATCTTCTGATGAGCCAGTGGGACAGAAATTAGTTTTCTGACATATTCCCCAAGACTGACATTGGCATATGTCAATAAAAGGATGGTCACAACACATGCTTGCAAGAGGAGAATGGAGAGTGAACATTGAGGACAGGATTATTGTGTTATTGGACTTAATTCCTTGATGTCACCCCAGAGACAAGCACAAGTGTAGCAGGCTAAGCAGATGATGAGATATTTTCCAAAACAGGACATCTAGCTCCTTCCCACAGCACTGTGTATAACCTAGGAGTCTTTTCCTTTTAGTCTTTGGCTGTTAAAAGCCAACACAGAGCTTTCCCAGGGAATCCTGCGAATGCAGTGTGTTGTGTGGCCACCTCTAGGAGCCAGGGTCTCACCGTCAGATGTGTGTGCTGCAGGCGTGGCACTGGGCAGAGGGAAGGGGGTGCCCTCTGGCTCGCTGTGCTCCCCCGGGAAGGAGATCTCTGCCAGATCCTGCAGCTCTATGTGGTTCAGCTGAAAGAGCAATAATTACAAACTGTTAATTTCCCAAAGCTCCGAAATTAGGAGATTCGTGTATCAAGCTGAACAACGTCACGCAGAGAGTAATTTTTCTTGTGAGTATAATCCTTTAGAATACCCAATTTACAACATAAAAATAACTTCTGAGCCTCACTGGTGGCTTTCAGCTGCATGCATGTCAGCCGTGCCTCTGCTCAGACAAGGCAGGATTCATGAGGTGAGTAAATGACCCATTCTCATGAGGTGTACCTTAATGGGCAAACAGATTGAACTTATTTCCTCAGGTGACATCACTTAGACAAATAATACCAACATCTAAAGAGCATAGAAGCCATAGTTCCTTAGGCTGAAATAATTTTCCTTTTATAGCCTCCTTTTAGGAATAGATTAAATATGGGCATGTCAGTTATACCCAGTGTTACAGTGACACATACTGAACTGCAGAACGTGGTTCCCTATTGGAGTGAATATTGGAAAAGAAGAATATTGGATACTTAGAAGTAAGTAATGATACTTAGAAGGCCAATGGAAGAACAATAATATGATAGATAATAAGAGAAATTTAGCCATCAGACTTAACAGCAGCTTGGTGTTGATAGACAGTATTTCAAAGCTGTGTTCTTGATCATTGTGTGAATCACAGAATCACAGAACGTTTGGGGTTGGAAGGGACCTCTGGAGATCGTGTCATCCAGCCCCCCTGCTCCAGCAGCTCACCCACAGCAGGGTGCCCAGGATGGTGCCCAGGGGGGTTTTTTCTCTCCAGAGCAGGAGACTCCACAGCCTCTCTGGGCAGCTGCTCCAGGCTCGGCCACCCTCACCCCAAAGAAGTTTCTCCCCCTGCTCAGGTGGCACCTCCTGGGTTCCAGTTGGTGCCCGTTGCCCCTTGTCCTGTTGCTGGGCACCACTGACCAGAGTCTGGCCCCAGCCTCTTGACATCCATCCTTTAAATATAGCCCTGGCCATAGCCCACTGCCTGGCAGCACAACAGTCTCACCTGAAAAGGTACCTGTGTGCAGTCAGAACTGTTTATACCCTCCACTACACTCCAAGCTGTGAACAAGATGGGTGACTGACCAAAATGAACAGTTGGGCCATTGACTCCTTCAGTGTTACAAGAGATGGCAAATTCTGAAAAGAGAAAGGGAGATGGTTTTCCTGTACCTTGTCTTCCAGCTCCAGTATTTGATTGTGCTGTCTGTGGAGTTGCACATGCTGGTCCTCTACTATTCTGAGGAGCTGCTTGATGTGGTTGTCCTGCTGCTCCACGAAAGCCTGAGGACAGGAAGGTAGGGAGGAGGGTTGTGGTTAAAAGCAGCAGAAGACCTTCACCATGGCACTGCCTCTGTAGCTGTTGTCTTGGGGCCAGTTCCAAGAGGCACAAACCATTCAACATTGCCTTTTGTTTTCAAAGGGGTGAATTTCTTTGCCTCTGATGAACACCCTTTTTTGGGGGGGACAAACTACTGGCAGCTTAGTAAACCTTTTTTGTTGTGGCTGTTTCTCTTCCATTTTCACATCCAGAACAATTACATACTGTGAAGTTAGCCCTTGATTCAAACTAAATGTATGCCACTGATCAGAAAAGGGAACAGTTCCTGACATTTAGGGTATTGGCTTGGGAAATCTGGATTAATCTTTCTTCTTAGGCACAAACATTCATTATTTTCTCACACAAGTTGCTTCGCCCTTTTATACAAAATACAGTTAATACTTCCTTTTCCATAGGAATCCTTATACCCACCTGAATACTTCCATGTATTGACATCAAGTCTCTTAACACTTGCAAGGTTCTTAGGTCCTGGAGGTCATATAGGTCTTAGAGATGTCCCTCTTTAAAGGGGTTAAACTTTCAGGTTTTATACTGAGCAGGCAGTTCCTAGTGCATTGATTTGTAATGAGATGCTGGCATACAAACTGTGGGCTTGGTAATCGCATCATTTTCCTGATTGCAATAAGTTTCTATCATTGTTATTACTACAGAATTTATTAAACCTGATTTACAAAAGATACTGAAGTAGAGATCCTTATCGTTTCACAATTTTCTCATTGATTTCAGTGGGGAATTTTACTGCAAAATAAGCAACACACTGGATTAAGACACTGATTCTTTTAAGATTATCACAGTGATTTATTTCTCAAAATACACAGTAACAGCACAGTGAAGAGGAAGGGAAAACCTGAGCTTCTATTGCCTAACTACTGATAATAGCATTACAGTTTACTTTGCCTTTGTGTGTCAAGGGCTTTCACAAATCTACTTACTTTGAGTGAAGAAATTTCCTTTGTCTCTTGCACTGAAGGCTGGATAACGGCCAGTTTAGTGACTTTGTCCTCCAGTCCCCATACTTTCTCTTGCAGCTGGTTTTTGTTTTGTATGAGGTCTTCAATCTTCAAATTCATCTCCTGTGAGAGATTCTTTATCTCTTCATTGTTGATTTGCAGTCTGGCTGTAGTTTGTCTCAGCTGTTCTTCTTCTTCTTTGATTTCACTGGTTTGCAGTGAGAGCTCGTAGAAGGACCTATCAAAAATGTAAAGTTTTTGAAAGATGTCATTCATCTGCCCCTTCGTTTTATGGACAAAGTCTTTAAGGCCGTGCCCAAGCTGCAGGAGTCCATTGGCTAAGATCCGTACATCATCTAACATGGCAAATCTGGATTTTGTCTCGGGAGATGCAGCAGAATCAAAGGTGGAATCCTTCTCAGCTCTGCCTGAAAGAGCAAGTGAGGAAATGAATAAAAAGACCAGAATGATTTTCATGTTTGCTGCTGCTGATAGTCTTTGGTTGTTCAGGATGCAGAGACTTTGCCTACTAACAGTTTTTGCTGTGTGACTGCTCTGGGTTGAAGAATTTGATCTATTTATACTCCTCTTCATTTCAGAAGAGGCAGCCCAACGAGTTGATCATTAAACTGTGTGTATTTGAACGAATGTAACCCCTCTCGAATGTGGGTAGATAGCTGGGAAGGTAAAACTGAGGGACGGGCACACTGCTGATTAAACTGGTTCTGAACTTTTCCATCTGCCAGAACTTCTGTTATAAAATGTTATTGATGATGTTGTGTTTTTCACTCAGCTCTTTTTAATAGATGAATTTTGGGTCATAGTCTTGATAAGGGGCTAAATGGCTTCTTGTTTGTGTTGTATGCTTCCTTTTATTGCCTCAGGGGTATAAAAGGGTTTACCATGCTTAAGAGCACTGGACGCTGTATTTCAGGTTGTGCAGCTCCTTGATAAGCTGTGGAAGGGCAAAATATTCTCAGATGATTCACACAACTTGATTCTCATCTTGCACCATTTTCTGATGTAACTCATTGTGCTGCAGTGGATTTACTTGTCATCTAGTTCAGATTAAGTGAGAAAGAGGGAATTAGGTCCAGAGATTGCCTGGATGTGATTCTACTATGTTAAGGTTTGTGCAGTAATTTACACCATATAAAACTTATTTTTTAAGAGCTGCTTTCCAGAGGTGGATGAGATAAATAATACCTGGCTTACATTTCTCACCTTACCATTCTCTTTACTGTTTAAGATTCACACTACATACAGCTAGTCTACAAGTGCTCTGAAATAAATGTCCTGTCCTGCAGTGGGCCTCTGCATAGAAACACGTATGTTTTTTGAGTAGTATTGCAGTATGAATGGAAGGTATTTTTTCTTTCTGGAATCACTCATAGCGATCCAAGAAATCAAAATCAGTCCATGCATAATATAGTCTGTGCTTTGAGGGCTGCAGTTTTTTGCTAGGTTCTTTTATGTTCAGTAATTCTTCCCCTGGACTTTTTGTTTTCCTTGTTTGTGTACATTTAAAAAATGAAGTTTTATCTCATACACTGACCTTGCTGTGTGATGAAAGGTGGATAATGTGCAGGTAATTCCCTGTCCATAATTAGATAATGTGAAGGTATTTTAGATCTCAGATTAACTGGTGGAAAATATTTTGTACGTACTGGAGTATCTGCACAAAGTGTAGGAAATCAGCAGGAGCATGTAGATCATCAGGCCTTGCAGTGGGGAGAAAGAGGATTCATTCAAAGAGAATCAGCTGGCATAGGGTGGAAGCAAATGTGGGAATTATCCTTAAATGCAAACAATAATCACTCTTCTACACCAGGAAGCAGCACTGCATTTTCACAACCCAGAGGTGCAGTTCTGTCCCATAAAACAAAGATCCCAGTAATTTGTGGACTTGCTAAGTATCCCAGTGCAGCAGACAATCTTGAAGGTCCTCATCCT